CTAGTTTGGGGGGGGGGCATCGTCGTCGTTGCCAGCGTTAAAGAGACTGGCGAGGGCGCGATCGTCGAAATGAGATGCGATCTTCGGCAAAACGCCATTAAAATTTAATGAACGCTTCTGTGCGATGATCGATGCCGGTAATCAGGCGCATCACTGACGCATTTTGGCGTTTGATAGATGTCGAAAGACGAGCGACAGCGGTCATTCGCCGGCTGGACGGTCGAAGCGCCGAAACGACCGCTGTCCGCCATCTGAACCAACCATTACCGCCGCCAATTACGGTAATAACGACCGAGCCCAAAACCCAGAACCAGACCTCGCGTTCACACTTCGATTCGGCTTCTAACACGAACGTGTCCTGCAAAGGCAAGTCTGGCGGAAGCGCGCGTTCATACTGTCACTTACATAATGTTGATGTGTAGGAACCAGTGTTGGAAGCTCCATCAGGTCACCCTGCCATCTATCAAAACTACATGTCGAATAATATTGCGATGTGTATCCTGAAAATCTCATGCCTACAGTCCGCATTACTTTTGCGGGGCCACATTCTTGCTCTTAGTTGCACAGGGTTCTATTTAGCCGGATCAGGACTCTTCGGCGTTCAAGCATTTGCATTAAAAACGTATCTCACACTTTTACCGTGCTGATTGAAATTAGCGATGAATTTCAGGAGCCGATACTCACATGCTACCACACAAGCATCGATGCAGGCAACTTTAGCATTTAAGGCAGTACTCTTCCCTTAAGGTAATTTCTAATAGGAAAATATGCTGCAAAATTTCGAATGGGACAGATGGTGAAGTGTATGTGTTGGTTTACTCACATAAGAGCATTTCCTCCTCAGTTCTAGACGCAAGCTCAAGATGTGCATCTGTGGAAGGAATTTCACAGACTATATGATTATGATTATATTTCCTGACGCAAATTTGCCTCAAACAGTCGATCCTCATCATTCTGAGAGAGCACGATGATTCGAAAGTAAACAGTCACGCAGTTACATCCGCTTTCATATCAATCCCTCCAACACTTCCATTGGACGGGGCGTCATGTGCGACATCCTTCCTTTATAAAGCTGATATTGCGCGCCCCGATGCTCCTTCCTCTCATCCAAAAATGGGGTCTTGCTGTCTTTTGGTAGCAGATGAGGAACATCCAGAGTACAGGATCTCATGACGCGACAGTCCGTTCTTCTACCACACAGCTGTTGTGGCCGTGAACGACAGTTCTGCTGACTGTCGAGACAACTCTAAGCAGTAATTAAGATGTCTTCTTAATTGTTTAGCCCGAATCCACATTAGTGAAATGTACTTTGACTGAAATTTCAAATCTGACAAAGCAGGATTTGTGGCCATGACGTATATGTGTATCTTTCCGGAAAGAAATCATAAGGAATGAATAATGCGACCTTAAACTATGTATTGCATAGTGTCATACTATGTCATTTTACACAGAATTACACCTTATGGCATAAACTGCAAATAAAAAGTATATTATTCATACTATAACAGCAATATTAATCTGTTGTTTACTGGATTATATGAAGGGTCGCCCTGTGACAAGCAGTCCTGATTAACTTTTATATCGGGTTAGGGAAGAATAACTGCGCAAATATCCAATCCCATGATCAACAACGAGCTTCAAGTATGATACTGTACATGAAATTACTTATATTCTGACAGTCAAGAGAACTGTGATACAGTACAACTAATATATATTAATAGTGTGTCATAAGATTACATGCAGTATATACATATCAGCAACTCAATACCGTAGTATATAATTCAGTTCCAATTACAAAACTGTAAAGAAGTAACGATGAATCATAAATGCATTGTCTACTTAGCTTCGAGGTTACTCAGGGAATATCAACGGTTTATCCTGAAGTAAGATAGAAAACCTAAGCTGTGTGGTCTCAATGTCCGTTGCAATCCCATCTACCTGTCCAAACCAATGGACATCCATGTGGCGTTAAGATACGTTGCTTATGTTGTTTGTGGTAGAAATAGGTGACGGCCCCAATCCTGCAACCACGAGTTCAAATCAGAAAAATCTCTTACGGATAAATCTGTCCCAAGGGTGGAAGGAGCTGCTGAATCTGTATATTATTGAATATAAGGTAGTAGATATGGCAACTATTACTCAATCCGGTGATCTGTACTGTTCGATATCATAATTACTAACATTATAAGCTTCTACCCTCTCATCTGTTTATTGGACAACCTATCTCTCTACCTAGAAGAAGGCCTGTGAGTTCTGCTACCATAAAGTAAAATAATATGGCCATTCACAATACACTAAGCGTTTTTATGCACTGTTGCTTTGCGTATCACACAATATATCATTATATTATTTACGTTGTTTGATCGCATTATTAGAATAATGTCAGGTGTTTGGAGAAAATAATGCTTCAAGGATGGATCTTGGGATCAAGACTGAAATGTTGGCCAACAGAACCCTGAAAGGACGGCGTTGTGTAATGAGCATACGATGAAGTGCAACATATTTGCCGCTACTACGATCCTGTCAAATCGGAATCTGTAAGGCAGCTAATTCATCATATGTAGCATGGCCAATGACGTCAGTGATACTATCTATCAAAACATTTGCTTCTAATTAACAAGATGTCTATTTTAATTTTATAAAGGGCATGAAAGAACCTCACCAGCTTATAAGCTTCTGAATAACGCAGATCACATCATTTTATATAATATGCAGTATGTATTAAAATATTGTAAGATTGTTATCAGTTATATATGCCATTGCACAGGCTAGCATTAAATCGAACGTGCTGTGTATAATACTCTGAAGCTTTCGTGGAATGTGCAATATAACACATCATCGGAGTCAATTTGTTAACTCCATATTACTGTCTGTAACGCTTAATACAATGTTTTTTAAGCATAAGCACTGTCGCTTGCTATTCGCTTGACGAAAACGAACCAACCTGAAACCGGCGCATGTCCCTTGGGTTTCCGGCATTCTTTAGACAGTTCTGGTTGCACTTGAGGAAGCATTTCAAGAAAAACCTGAAAATCAATATTTTATTTAAACACCTTTCCATTGAAGGGGTAAAAACAGAACTTTAAAATTTGAAACTTCAGATCATACGTCTGATACAGCAGCAAATTTTGGCTATTCTACATTCATTTTCAATGCAAGGGAATTAATTTCAATCCAGAAACGCGGCTTAGGCAAGGAGTACAACAGGCATTCAGTCATCGATTCATTTGCAAGTTTCATACGGTTGTATTTGTAGTCTACACTTTCAGCAGATCAACTGACTGATTTTCATTCACTAGCTTTTGAATGCGCCGCAAGGCATTGGGAACAAATAAGAGTAATTGTTTTCCGCAATGAAGCCACCTACCTGCAGTACTCAGGACATGTGAGTCATTTACAGTAACGGTTGTAGCTCAGTCTTCTCGTAATGTCACATTCCAGCTAGTGCCATATCTGATTGCTCATCGTTTCTTTACATGTTTTGCAACTAATAAAGCGCTATTTTAAAATGTACTGGCGTCACGTCGTGAGTACCAAGTGTAAACATGCCAAATTCCTTCTATGTTGCATTAACTGAGTACCCATCACACGCATAATAAGAATAACACACTGTTTACGCATCTTGGTATGTCATAGGGTTAATAAACTCTGAACTGGTAATTCAGCCAGCACAGTTAAGTGAAAGCCGGCCTGAACTCAATAATGCACTAGTAATTGAGTGAAACCATTTCGTGTCACTCATCGCAAGTTACACGGCATTCGATTGTTTTTGAGGACTTAGGAACTATTTACGCATGCCGGCCGATTCGTTGATACGTCAGCCGTGGAGAACAGATGCAAAATCAAATATAGAGGGGATTACAGAGATTTTCCTTCTGATTTTGGTTCTAAACATAGTATCCATCGACACCGTTTCATTGAGAATAAGACGGTATTCCACCATCGCAGCTAGGAGTTTCAGAACCAAGCTCGTCGAAGGCGAAGAGCCTGACCAGTAACCCACACCTGGCTTTCTGGTCTGCGCCTGCTTAGGGAGACTCAGTTGGTACTTTGGACGCAGAGAAAAGACTGGGTGTCGCTTGCACCTGGTTTCTGCACGACCCAGTTTGCTTTCAGACATTAGTAACGAAAACTAACTCTCATTATTCGTATTGATTGCGCGGGATTTTCCTCCTTTGTGTACGTTAACACTGTAGATTTAATTTACTGTGGTCTGTCGAACAGTTTGCCAAATTGAAGGAAATATGGTCAGATCAATTTGTCAGAAAAGTTAAGCAAATAATACCTTCCGTCTGACCATGTAGTGAAGTGGCATTAGGAAAGTCATTCAAAAGAAGCCAAATAATGGACTCAGAAAATGC